CCATTTTCTTGGTACTGAATGTTTTCACTGGTAGCAAACTCAACAAATGAGTGGCTCCTTCGCCCCCCACCCTCGCTCCCCCAGTTTGTTCGCTGTTAACCAATAGATCTTCATTAAACAAAGGAATATTTTAGCATTCCAAACCTGGTTCCTGCTTATGCAAGCCGTTACTCACATAAGCTTCAATTGGGCTGCTCGTAAGTATGAGGGCTGCTCAGCTGAGTAACGGCCATGCAGAGTTGGGCACATAGGAGGGTTGGTACTTTTGGAGGATTGCTTAAATGAAAGCATTTCCCTAAATAGTGATTTGTAATTGCAAAGCTGTGACCAGAATAAGTTTTTGGTTTTTTTTTATAAGTTATGTTTTATTGTGTTTCTTCATTGTAGAACTGAAGCCATAAATGCACTGATATTGCTTTTTAATACTTCAACTTAATTTTCCATTAAGATTTTCAGTGTTTGATATGTATGAACTGCTGCAGAAAGTGGTTGCTGTGTACAAGCAAAATCTGCATTCGAGGCAAAGTGAGGCTTTACAGCCCCACTGAGCCATTACTGCTGAAACTGTTGTGGAAACTATGAAGCTGCATGAACGAAGACTTCTTGAATCGGTGTTTATGGTAGTTTCTCAGGTTTCGTTTTAACTGGATGTTAAATGCACTGTGTTTTATAGTTATTCTCTTTTAGTAACACATTTGGTTCTATGCAGTGTTACATGTCATTTAGCATTTGGTGAATGTGCATGTTTTGAACTGCAGATTTTAAATGTTTTGTCTTTTAATTGTTAAAAAATAATAAACTTTGCCATTAATGAAGATGTTTTATTGAAATGAATGGTTGCAAATGTGAGGGATTACTTTCAAAGAAAAAAAAACTATCTCCATCAGTCTCGTTTTTTTTATTCTTCTGAAATGGAACATATCAGAAATGGCATTTCACAAGCATCAGAGATCACTTATGTTACTGTAAGAAGTTGAAAAAATATAAAAACGTAGTTTCTTTTTTAAGGAGTTATTTTCAACTGTCTTACTTGGCTCTCATGTGAAGTCCAGAAAGAGTTTTGAACAAACAAAAAGAATATACGAGTCAGCAATGTAATGATTTGCAGCCGAGCCCTAAGGTAGTTCTGGTGGTGCTGCCCTATTTGGAAAGAAGTATGCAGAACAGAAATGGCAAAGCAGGAATAAGGGAATCTTGCTTCAGTTTTCAGATAACAGTGGTAAGTACCGCATCCTTTGACCTCAATAGTGGCAGATGCTTCTTCATGCTAACAGTGTCCACCCACTGAATAAAAATCAGTACAGCCACACCTGATTGTGTTTTGGGTGAAGATAGGTGACTGATTCTTTTTTGATGTTAGGCAATTGATTTGTCTTGTAGATTCTGTATTCTGTTAGGATCGATAGTGGATACACCTTCTGTGCTTTTTCATGATGCCCTCCCAAATGGTAAAGCTGCTTTAAAGCAATTCCATGTCCTCTGTTATGCTGACAGTCATAACAGCATTGAAATTACTCAGGTTACAATCCAGGTTATAGCAATACAGGTTCCTTTTCAAGTCCTAACTCTCTTCTTTTATGGGAAATGTTAGTCATAAGCAAAACCATTTCACTCAGCTGACGTACTACAGACCTGAATCCGTCATAAGTCAGATGAAGAGAAAGAAGAGAGGCATTTCTTCCTAGCTCTGCTAGTAAAGACAGCATATCATGGAATTGCAGCCTCAGCATAATTGCAAATGAAGAACTTTGCCTGGATGTTGCAGAACAGCAGACCGTTCAAAAGCAGTTCTGTTCAGAGCAGCCTGCAAAGCCCACATGGCTGCATGCAGAAAAGCTGCACCAAGGGCTGGCTCTAAATCTTTAATGCTACTGTCAACCCTTATGCTAATAGTAGCAGCAAAATAATTTTGAAATTGTCATATATCATTTTATTATACTCCAGGAGCATTAGCCCATCAGCATACCTAGCCATTTGCTATACTGCGTACCTCGTTTCAAATAAAATCCTTTGGAAATTCCTGCGAGCACATGTAGTGCTTTCCTTTGCACACTGGAGGTCTGATATGTTTTGGAGACGTGTGTGGAAGAAACTCTTCATACAGGAAAACAAAACAAAGGGCTGATCTAATTCATTCAAAATAAGTGGTGATGGTAAGCAAGTACTGCCTAAATATTTTCTTCAGGCCAACATCTTGCCCTTCAAACTGCTTCATTAGTCATTAAAATTGTCGACCAAAATGCCATTTCTGTTCTGTCTGCAGGTTTTAAAAGAATGGATACTTTCTGTAAATCACAGCAGTATCTCTGCCATTGGGTCCTTCTTGATCAGAAGAAAATTCAGCACTTTAACTCAGAGCCCAAATCCAATTGTGCCGGGGATGACCAGCGTAGGCAATGACTGCTTCAACCCTTGGGTTTGTGTTCTATCAACATCTCTTCCTCTCTTTTGCACTATCTGCCTCACTATCAGTATCCTTACTTTAACAGTTACTCACCGTTCTTGGTCAGCCTGTTTGCACGATGCCATCCCCACCACACCTGGTGTCATCGTTCCCAAAACTCCTTGAGGAGCTTGGCACACCATACACTTTGAGGCCTGATTCAATGAAGCTGTTCCTGTGTATTACTTTCTCAGCATTTTATGAGGCCAAGCTCAGAATCAGAGTAGGAAGCAAATAAGCTCAGGCAGCATTTCCTGATGAGGCTGAATTTCACATACACGTCAAACCTTACAGCCTCTGCCTAGGCTGAATAAACCTCCCTATCTGAAAGACTGTCATCAAGCATAGCAAAAATCAGTCCCTGTGTTAATACATGAGTAGATGTTACTTCAGAGCCTGCTGCAGCTGTTCTGGAGCCTGTCCTTTCATGTACACTGATAAATGCTAATAGGCGATAACTGTGCCAAACTCCCAGTCACTCACACATGGCACATCTTTGAGGGAAATGCCAAATTTCAGCTTGCTGTCACCTTTGTCAGTGGTTATGTTGCCTACTCAATGTTTGAAGGAAATAAAATTGTTCTTTTCTAGCCAAAATGGATCACATTAATGTTTCTGCCTGCGAGATCTCTTTTGCTAGAATTTACTGCAAGAGAAATATTTCTACCACCTGAAGATGTATTACATATTAGCAAACCACACTGAAGTTGATACAGTTCAGTATTTATTTCTGCTATATGTTGCTATATGCTGTAGAGCACATACACTGTTATGTCTTGGTTCCAACAGTCAAATCAAATCCTACTACGTAAAGCATTGCTCTATAGAACGTGAGTTGTCTTTTCCTTAGAAATTTCATGGATTGTAATGTTGATTATGCAACAAAAATCATTATTAAAGGTGATATTTTCAGAACTATTTTCTTTATAAACGCAAAGAAACATTGTTAGATCTCTGCTAAGAAAAAAGCCTACTATTCAGTTCTTGAAAAAGAACAATTAACTCTTGGTATCTCTTCAAAAACAAAGATTTGCCACAGTTCAGACCAGAGGTGCTGTGAATCTCATAAACACTAATATGCTGATGGCTGTTGTACAGGCCAGCTGCACCACACTAATCTGATCCCACACGTGGAGTTTGGGACTTACTGAAAAGGGAAATTCAGCCTCTGACACTGCAGAATCTTCTGTGTGATATGACTGCATTTGTCACAAAATGAACTATAAAGGAGGCCCTTAAATAACTGCCCATTTTTCTCATGCTCTTCTCTTGGCTCGCTGCGTGTGTTTGATTTAGATGCCTTTTTTTTTCTTCTTCCATTTGGTTTGTTGATTTACTTGGATGAAGGAATGTAGGGGGCAAACAAAACATGTTCCTGTGGCTGTTTCAGATTAAAATACCCAACTAATCAGTGTCGTTTTCAACCACATTACATTTTGAGGTGCATATACAAGATATCAATTAGTCTATTAGCTGGAGAGAATCTTACATCATATCAAGTCTGCACAACAGGTGCACAGCTAAAGATGTAAAGCATTTACAAATGCAAAATAGTGTTTTTGACAGGAAAATAAGCAGAATAGTTTCACTGCCAAAGTGAAGATGCGTTCATGGAGTAGTGTATGTGCAGAGACACAGTTGACACCAGATTTCCACCACTGTTTATTGATAAACTGTTGGTGTGACTACTAAATAATTAGTGCTGTCAATGCTGTAAATACATCTTAAATTACAAGCTTTACATTTATACATGGCTAATTTTACAAATAGAACTTCGGGATCAGTTCATCCAATGTATGCATGGCGCTGAGCAAAAGGCCACCAATAAATATTTCCCTCTAAAAAATGCCTCAGTGCAGCACAGCTCTGGGATTGCATGCCAAGGAGTTATGTGGAAATATTAGCAAACACGTTCTGTTCTTCTAGCATAGGATTATTTGGCTGCTCGGGACCAGTATGTTTTCAGCTAGCCTAAATCGTGCTATTTTATTTATTTTAGTTAAGTTCACCAGTATAAATACGCAATGTAAGTTCAGGTACATTTTCTGTATGTTTAGAAACTAGGGCCTTCAATATCTTAATACATACCTTCTCACATTGCCTGTGGGAGCAGGCAGCTGAGTTAGGGTCCGCAGAGCTCTAGTTTAGTACTGTTACCTCTCTGTTACTTATTGCTGCTGGATAAAACTATGCTGGTTATTGGAGCCCTGGAGCGCGGCCACTGCTTGTTAGCAAAGTTAATATCATTTATGGTTAAAACATCACTTACAGCGCCTTGAGCTGGGTAACCTTGTCCCAAAAATGGTTTTCTAGTTGTATCTCAATGTGCTCTGCACAAATCAGATCAAACCATCAGAGCAGTTGGTTATTAAGGCAGCTAAGATTGGAATACTTCACAAAACATCTGTATCTGTAATCCAGGTTGGGGGAAGCACTCAGGACTGTTCCGAGGCCTTGCGCTTCTCAATGGCAACTCACCCACAGGTCTGCCTCCATCAGAGCAGAGCACCAAGCACCGCAGTCAGTCCTCACGCTCCCAAAGACTGTGACGCTCGGCTCAGCTCTGCGCGAGGTCGGCACAGCCCTTCCCACCCAGGGCCGGCTCGGGGTAACCCAGGTACGGCGGTGCCTGCAGGAAGCCCGGCGGTGACCCCAGGTGTGTGCTGTGGGCTGCAGGAAAGCAGCCGGCCGAGTATGGGGGTGGTGGCGACGGCAGCAAGCAGCCCGGCTCTGTGCGGGCCAGGGAAAAGCGGCGCAGGGAGCCGCTCGCTGAGCTGGAGCTGGTGGCCGTGCTAGATGGTCGGGATGGGGCCCGGCAGCTGGACGAGGGCAGGATCATGGGCAGAGTCTCGGTCTGGTAGCTCCGGAGGGAGAAGCGGATGGGCTGGGATGGCTGCTTGGGCCTGAGGCACGTGCAGCAGTAAACAGCCACCAGGGAGCCCACGATGATAAAGGCGATAAATATTGATCCGACGATGAGGAACGGCACATAGATGGGTTCTGGCAAGGAAAGAAAAGGAAAAGCTATGTTAGTCAGGGGAAATACCCACTTTCTGGCTTAGAAATTAACCCCACAGAGTTCCCAAAGCCCCACGCCGCTGTTTTCATCCTGGTGGGCACTGAGTATCGCAGGAGATGGAACCTCTGACCTCTCTCATCGGAGCTAAATTAAAAGTCTGTTCCCCACAGTTATGGGTCAAAGCTCCATATTGCTGACAGCTCTCTCACCAACGCACGACAGAAGCTCCGTACACCACATCCGCATCACTGCATCGCCACCGCCCGCTTCGTGCGGGCTCCCCCAGTCTCGCTCTCCTCTTTCCCCCTCACCCCTCCGGAGCCCGCGGCTGCGCCGCCCCGCGTGCCGCGACACTCACGGGCGCTGACCGCCGGCTCTGGAGGCTCCCGGTGGTTGGTGCAGCCGCCCTGCTCCAACCGCGCCTCGGCGGCCGCGCAACAATAACGCAGCGCGCAGGAGCCGCAGCAGATGGTGGCGGCCGCAGTGTCGAAGCCCTCTGGGCACTGGAAGCCGTCGTGGTAGCCGCCCTGCCCGTCCACCCAGCCGTGGCAGTACTCTCCGCCGCCGCGCTGCCCGCCGCCGCCGCGCAGCAGCCCCAGCAGGAGGCAGCGCAGCAGCAGCAGCCGCCGCCGCCCCGCCATCGCCCCGCGCTGCCCGCCCGCCCCGGCGGGGCACGCAGGGGGCGGCCCCGGGTGCGGAGCCGCGTTCGGGGG